GGAGAGAAAGGGGTTGATGATCCAAAATACCTTGTATTTGGTACAAATTTTGAACTTTGGATCTCTTGTATTTTAGGATGGGATGAGTCTACCCTACCCTATAATACACCAGTTAGAATAAATCTACAGCCACACAACAAATGCCTGCTCTACAGCGCCTGCCCCTCTCCCTCCAGCGTCTGCGCGGCCAGCCGGTGCTCGCGCCCTGGCCCCTCGTGCGCGGGGAACGGTGTCGGGGAAGGCGAAGGAGGCGGTGGATCCGATGACCTCAAACCCGCCTAGCCACTCGACTTCGTTGCCCGCCTCCCCGACGGCGGTGACATTTTGGCCTCGAGGAGCTAAATAATCGACGCCTGGAACAAACGCTGGTGAGTCGTTCGTAATCTTATCTCTGCTCACATATGGTTTCTTTGACCTGTGTTTTCATCATCATATATCATATATAAATTAAAGTAATAATAAGTTTAGTATTTTGCTTATGTTTGTTTATTAACTGATGATGAGCTACACTGATCAGTTATTCGAGTACTTTCACCAAATGCATCCGCTACCAATCGACTTCCGAAATTAAACCCCTTTTAGAGGCCTTTGTTCTGTTCTGTTAGTTCCTGTTAAGAATTCGTTCATAATATAGCATTATTATTTATGTGAAAGCCACAAGATCGATATTCAGGATACCACCAGTTTACTCTCTTTGACAAATGTCACACGTTTCGAGTTCTTTCTTATTGTATCCACTGTACTTAGCATCTCATAGCTGTTTATGACAGGGTTAGTTGAACACATAATTCTCTGTATCTCACTCCATGTTCAGTTTGCGTTGCAGGAACAGGACACCCTGTTCGCTTGATCGTATCAGCTATGATATAGTGTTTTTCTCTCACAATAAAACAGCATCAGCCGGCTTATAAGCCACATAAACGATCAAGCGAACAGGTATGTGAGACATGTGGATGTGGCAGCAACAGCCCTCCTCATTCATATACTGCAAAATGTTTCTAGTGCTGATGCAGCTCTCCCCATCTCAACAAGCTCCTTGGGAGAGGCAAATAAACGGGGTGATAGCACTGTGGATAAGCTAGGGTCATTTGTGCAATCTCCTATATCCTACAATGTTCTTTATGGTAATATTTTCCTCTTATACTGATAATTACTATGTCTGGTGAAGTAACAATACCACCATTTTCTCTTTTGTAGCGTAATTTGGTTGGGTGGCCTGACAGCATGCCAATGCAACTAGAAAAACCAATTGTTCTTGAAGATGCTCTATCTGATCTTCCAGAAGTAAGGAACAATCTTTGAGATTCTAGACCTGTTTGCCCATGCTTTATCTTGCTTTGTCCGCATCACCCAAAGGAAGGGGCTACACCATGTTCCAGCATGAAATGATAGTTTACTTGCGAGGGTACATTTGCTGACATTAGGTAGGTATAAGCAATCTTCACTTAATTTAACAGCCGTTTAATTCAGAAGCTATTCTCTACATCTTGTGAGGGTACACATTTTTTTTAATGTAATTTGACTGTTTTAGAAGAACAGTGGTGTTATTTTAAAATAATAGAATGCATTGTGCTAGCAGTAAGTTAGTGTTGAATAATGTACTGCAGACATACGTATCTCCTGATTTATTCTGTTAATTAACTTTTACTAACAGGCTACCGTGCTGGTTACAAACAAGAATGGATGATCAAGGAGTTTTCAACACAATTAAAGAAGCTCTCAATTTGCATCAATTAAAGATCTAAAAAATATATGATCAGTGGTGTTATTTTGTAATTGCGATTGCAGGGGAGGGGTTTGGCCGATCTGTAGCACAGGTTGAGGAAGGTGCATAGCAGCTAATCAATGCGGAATGTGGCATTCATCATGTGATAAAAATATTAATGAATCTCATTGCTCGTTTTATTTTTAATATGGTCTGTATTTTACGGTAGCATTAGCTGACTTTATATAATTACTGTATCAGCTAAGCATGGCGTAAACTGTTAAGCTTGATACCTCTTGCCTCCTTTTTCCCTACCAATCTCTAATCTCTCTTCCAGTTTGCGTGTAAATCAAACAAATGCTCATCTCTAGAAAATTAGGATGCTTCCTTGTATACAATTTCATAAAGTCATGGGATGGGGTAAGATTGCCACCGATCAACACTGTAAGCATATATTCTCTAACTATATTCCGTACACTACATACAAAATTAATAACTTAACTTATTATATCTACCATACACAGCTATCAAATTCACTGAGGATGGAATTTTTGGGGACATTTTTAAGAGCCATGCAAATGAATGTTTTGATAACTTTCCTGAAGATCTCTAAGTCATGATTAAGGACTTAGACAGAATGTAACTTAAATGGTTATATGAGAAAAAACTTTACTATGACTTCTTAATTTCCTAGATTTTATACATGCTCAAAGATATTGTGTAAAAGTTGAACCATGGAAAAAAACATTAGTTATTTTCATATACGTCTTCAAAATAAATCCGTTGCGTTAACACGGGCATTGCACTAGTATTTTGGAGGAGTTCAGAGTTAAAACGAGGTCAGCGTAGGATTTGTTGATTTCTACTATATATGGGCCGGCAGGCCACGCGGAAAAAAAAAAAAAAACACAGAAGCTTTACTGGCTTCAGCTCGCATCTCTGGCCTGGCCCATCTATCTGACGGATTCTCTCGCTTTGCGGAGACCCGAAGGCATCCTCCCGAGACCCGATTCCCCGACTCCCCGCCGTCCCAGAGACGAGAGACGGCACAACCCTTGCTGCCGTCCTGGTCGCCACACGGCCACACCAACCCCAACACCTCTTCCTCCGCTCTCCTTCAACCCACCACAGGCGAGGGAGGCGACTCCTTCCTCGCGGCCGCCAGTCCCGACCCCGATCGTCTCGCCTCTGCGCCGCGCGCCGCAGTGTCCACTGGCGCGGCCGCCTTCCGTCTTGGGGGCGCATCTGGTGCTAGCTCGCCGGGCTAGGGTTGGCTTTACCCTCGTCTACCTTTTCTGTCTCGTCTGACGCGCGCAGGCTCCGTGCACGCGGTCGTCGTCTCTCGCTCCGGCTCTGACTGCTCGCCGACTCCCGCTTGCTCCCTCCTGCTACGGGAGGGCCGCCGCTGCCGTCGCGTCCACCGGCGAATTCTTCTACAGGTTCGGCTCCCATCACACTCCGGCCTCTTCGGTCCTCCCCTTCCCCAGATCTGGCCACTTATAGCACCATCGAATTCGTTCGTGTGTTCCTTTGATCCCGCGAGGTTACTGAATTGCTTGGATGTGGTTTATGTCTTGGTTTTCCTGCGTAGTCCGAATCCATATGTTTGTTGTGGGCCCATTTTTTTTTACTTTTTTTTAATGTTCAGAATTATATTGTCGTTGTAGTGGATGCATCAGGACAGAGAAAACTGGACTATTCACAGTCGGATAGAGGCTGCAGCTAATGTCGTTCACTTCTCGACTGTCAATCTACCAGTCATGTAGATTGGGGATACCAATCATGTAGATTGGGAATAAGATTAGACCTCCAAATTTTGAGGATGTGGGTGTTGCGAGTGATCTGGTATAAATTAGACCATCGATGCTATGGGCAGCAGAGGAAGGAAGAAGGTTTTGTTTCGACTTTGGATGGAATGAGAAGGGTTGTCTTATGTTGATTAGCCACAAGAAATTACAAGACAATGTTCATGAAGTGATGGGGGGTAAGAGGGCCTGAGCCTGTAACTGGGCAAGCGTTTAGTTTTCGAAAATTCCAAACCCAACTCATGCGATGGGTTTGTTCGTTTTGTAAGACTTGTTTGTTGAACTGTCAGTTGTCCTTTGTTAGAGTTGGCGTCTGTCTGACCCCTTCGTACTGCTAGGTTGGCTGAATCAGTTTGGCTGAGCAGGAAGATAAAACAAAAATGGACAAGTAGGGTGGACTGTCCGGATCTTTCGCTTCTTAAACATCTCTTCTGATGCTGTATTCCCGTTGCTTGTTAATGTAAATGGGGAATGCCTTGGTTCAAAAAAAAAAAAGAAAAAAAAAGAAAAGAAAACCTCATGGGATGTGCTCAATGGCTATATTTCAGACATGGCACCCTTTAAAGTCACGCTGTATTATGGTGAATCGAACCAATCTGTCCTACCCACACGAATTTGCCTGTTTCGTTATTTCTGAGACTCTTTTATGTGCCCTTCACTGGTGTGGGCACCAATAAAATAAAATAGCACGCCTCCATATGCTTTCCAGTATTTCCCCAGCTTATTTTTTAATCTTTTCTTTCTAGTGTTTTGTGCATTGATTTTTCCTTGAGAATTCAAGTATTAAACTCTTCTCAGCCCAAATGAAAAGTTGTATGTCTTTGTGGTTGTGAACTTGTGTTAGCCTGGCTAAGCAACTGGTTGTTGCTGTAATGAAAAATTCGATACCATTCCATAGACCGAAGTGTCATTATGCTATCATGCGCAATTTGTAGTTTTCTATTGCTGCCTTTTATATTTACTCATTACTGGTCTCATGCTAAATCGAACATTTAACCATTTTAGCCTAACTCAAAACAAAGGTAGTGTACTTATTATGGCAATATATTTAGCCCATATTTTTATAATCTCTTGGGCCTTGGCAATATTATGTTTGGTAACCATTTTGTCTTCAACCTAACTGATTGGGTATTTTCTTGTGAAAATATCCATAATGCATAGAATTTTGAATGATATTGCTGGATTGGTTCAGTATGTGTCATAGAATTTGTTTGTCTCTTTATCGGTCCATATGGCAGAAGACTAATGTTTCTTTTTCCCTTGTGGCCTCGCAGACCAACTATCTTGCAGTTGGAAATCTATACCTGAAGATTCATTTAAAATCTGGAAGCTTCTGTTGTTGGGTACAGAGAAATATTTCCTGCCCTTTGAGGAAGACTGCAGAGCTTCTAAATGTGAAACTTGCTTCTTTTCTTGTCTACTCCTGAATGCTGATGAACTCAGCCTCTCACGTTACTTAGCTCAAGGTCATACTGGTACGAACACTGAGGATGGAGCAAGCAACAGGTGTAAGTGGTCCTGAGCACATAATTGATATTCCAAGGGAAATTGGTCCTTCTGCTTCGGTTTCTCGTAGTGTTGGTAGAGAGAACCATGAAGAATTGAATCCTGTGGACAGGCCTTCAACAAGAGCTCTAGTACCTGCCTTGCAGGCACCATCAGCAATAGGTGCCGTACCTAATGCAGGGCAGACTTCAGGCACTAGGAGAAATGACAACTATGTTCGTCGGCACAGAAGCCCTTTGAATTCTGGACTGTGGATTTCAATTGAAGTTATCGTCAACGTGAGCCAGATTGTAGCTGCCATTGTTGTTCTTTGTCTGTCAAGAAAGGAACACCCACAGGCTCCATTACTTGAGTGGGTCATAGGTTACACTGTTGGTTGTTTTGCAACGTTACCCCATCTCTATTGGCGCTATATACACCGTAATATTGTAAATGGTGAGCATGAGCCAGCACATGCACCTCAAGGGTCCGCTCGTAACAACTCAAATGAAGCCACTCATGCTGCAAGTGCATCAGAACGCCGTAGAAATGCTGCACGAAATGCTGTGCTTGCTAATCCTAGGTACCCCTACCTTCTTTTTTCTTAAAAAAATGGATCGATATTTACAATGAATATGATTAACTGTCACTTGTTTTTGTTCATTTATGCATGCTGCAAAATGACTATGCATTAAAGATGAATGCACCGTGCCATCTGCAGGATTAATGCGCTGTTTGACCACTTCAAGATGGCCCTGGATTGTTTCTTTGCCGTCTGGTTTGTTGTTGGAAACGTGTGGATATTCGGTGGCCATTCTTCTGCTGCTGATGCACCAAACTTGTACAGGTAAATGCAAACTGTTCTTCCATGGATGAGATGCCACCTCATTTATCCTGTTGCTGACCTTTACTTCCCACCAGGTTGTGCATCGTGTTCCTCACTTTTAGTTGCATTGGGTATGCCATGCCGTTCATCCTCTGTGCAATGATATGCTGTTGTCTCCCCTGCATTATATCTGTTATGGGTTTTAGAGAAGACACAAACAATACAAGGGGTGCTACCTCAGAATCTATCAATGCTTTGCCTACATATAAATTCAAAACCAAGAAACGCCGCCATGGTTCAGGAAGTGAAGCTGAAGGCCAAGAAGGAGGGATAGTGGCTGCAGGGACTGACAAGGAGCGATCGCTTTCTGCTGAAGACGCTGTACGTCTATCTTGAATTTTTAGGAGTTTTTTTTTAATCATCATCACTTATTTGTTTTCTTATTACTCTTTGGTATTGCAGGTTTGCTGCATCTGTCTTGCAAAGTATGCACACAATGATGAGCTCCGTGAACTTCCATGTGCACACTGTTTCCACAAGGATTGTGTTGATAAATGGCTCAAGATAAATGCACTTTGCCCTCTGTGCAAATCTGAGATAGCGGGCACGTCTGGTACTTCTGATACCCGCCAATCAGACCAGAACGCCATTCCTGTGCAGGAGATCGAAATGCATTAGGTTGGTCAGATCTCTCAGCTTATCACATAAGAATACATCAGATTGTTGCTCCCCGTCTTCATGTATAAAGCTTGAGATTGATGTATGGATTGTAGTGACGCATAGTTTTTTTTAATCACTGCTAACTTGGAGAAGTTACAGCTATTCTCGCTGTCATCCAACTATGGCAAGCCAATACTACCCAGGTTTTCCCAACAGCGTGGATTGCACCTTATGTTCTGTTCTTGATGACATTGCATGGCTTCTTTTGAGTCTCTACTTTCTAGCGCGAAACAGGCAGGTGAGATTCTTTAATCACGTGATCCCAGTGAAGTATTTTCATGCGTGAAACTCCTAGTGAAGCATTTTCATGCTAGAAACAGAAGTTACGAAACTCAGTTCATGACAATCTGGTAAGAGCCTGTTCTGCACTTCTGCTTGATATGAGGCTGAGAGCTTTATGAACAATAACGGATGTCACCTGTTTGATATGTCCATTTTCTATTGGTAGGCTCGATATGGAGCTATAACTGTACATGATTGGAAATGAATCTTTCAGTTTTCACTTTTACAAAGTTATGATCAAACATTAAAATTTGTTAGTGTCATAGTCCTTGTGGGTACTGTTACGACACGTTGGTTGAATAATCTCGTTATGTGGCCGCTGATGCTGTTGATCAAACTACGTACGTACACATAGCCATTGGCAGAGTTTGGGATTGACCTGGCTGTGCCAGTGGGTAAAGGTGGCGTATATGCTTGAATAAACGCTTGAATGGGCTAGAAGCGCCAGTTAGTACTTCTATTCTAAATTAAATATTTTTTTTCTAGGTGTATTATTTTTACTATGCATCTAGACATAGGGTCTGTTTAGTTGTTTGCATAACCCTTTATCTAGGCCTCCGCAGTGTAGTTCATCCCTGTTTAGTTACCTGCATAGCAGGCTAGCACTCGACCAAAATCTTGTGTATCCAGCTATGCACTCTTCCTCCTGCACCCGCTCTGCAACCTAAGACATAGTCTGACTACTTATGCAGAAAACCAATCACACAAATAACACTATAAGGCCTCCTATCCAGGCAAACGAAACAACACCAAATTGCATTGCCTTATCCAGGTTAAGGTTATGCTGCATAATCTTTAATGCAATGCAATGCTAATGCGAGTAACCAATCAGAGTATATATCTAAGTATATAGCAAAAGGTATGTATGTAGAAAAGTCAAAACGTCTTATGATTTGAAACGGAGAGAGTAGAAGATTATAGTTTGTTTTATGGCTATATATTGGACCAAAAGGTTGTTTATTCCCGGTACCTACTGCATGTTCGCTTGAACTTATCAGCTAGAACCTACAGTATTTTTCTCTCACAACAAATTAGCTTCAGCCAGTTTATCAGCCGGCTTTAATATCAGCCGAACATGCCGTTATTTTGCTGGGCCATTGCTCCTTGGCTTTCATTGCTAATGTTTATAGCTAAGAAAATAGGTTTTCATTACTAATGTCTTGCTAAGAAAATAGGCAGGAAGAGGCAAAACTTGTTTAATGTTGAGCAATGTCGCACGCCTGGGGCAAAATAACGCAATTCATGCCTATTTTCGTGTTCATGCCTATTTTCGTGCCAGGCTCTTGCTCATTCGCCGACTTGTAATGTCAGGCGTGTGCTGAACGTTTCGCCTGTGGTAACATATCACCCATCTCTCTATTGTGCTTGTGATGCAATGAAATCTTACCTTCTCAAATAAAAAGCTTGATCCATGTTAGACAGGACTGGAAATTCTTGTACATAAAATTTCGAAAAAAAAAAGAAATTCTTGTTCATACACAGACGTCCCCTACGTTTACTCGTCCACAAATTACCATAATCGTCTGCAGGTAGTACATATTGCATTATTTTGCATCGTACGCGGTTTTTAATAAATAAATAAACACAAGTATTTCTGCTTGTTTTTGGAGCACGTTGCTTCACCGGAGCAACACATTCACGGGGATAACGGCAGCTTCTTTCTTTCCTCGGTGTCTTGTGGAAGCTTCAGCGACGGCTTGCGCTCCGGTGTGGACGAGCTTCTCTCCGCGGACGCGGCTGCCGCCTCCCCCATCCGCTGCTCGAACGGGGTCCTGAACTCGTTGGACCCCTTCCGCTCCAGCGGCGAAGCCGAAACCGAGTCCATGCGGGAGTGGTCGCTGAGAGGCGACGCCCGGGGGCCGCCGAAATCGCGCGTGGCTGTGGCTTCGTCCTGCTCTGTCCTCTTCCTCCCTTGGCTGCTGCCGCCGTTCGTCGACGGCGAGTCGCTCCAGCTCTGCTGCTGCCTGAAGTGGGGCGCCGTCATGTCCTTGCGGTCGTAGTGCTGCAGCCACGCGCGGAACCGCTTCAGCGACACGCTCCCGGACCCAGGCTCCGCCGCCGCCCGGACCTCGTGGCGCTCCCGGTAGATGAACATGACGAGGTAGACGAGGAGCACGAGCGTCGCCGCCACGGCGGTGATGAGGAACAGCCCGCTGAAGTTCCACAGGGTGAGGCTGGCGTTGGCCGCGTCGACGCCATCGCCGCACGACCCCGGCACGCCGAACCATTTCCTCTCGATCAGGTCGATGTTGTCGCCTTCCGTCAGCCCCACGATGGCGCGCGACACCTCCGTCGCCATGGAGGAGCCTTTCGGGAACGCGAACCCGAGGCCCGTGCCCTTGTAGACGGGGCCGGACATGACGTAGCCGTCGCAGTACTGCGGCTGCGACAGGAAGACCTTGAGGTACGGGACCTCGTCGAACACCGCGGCGACCCCGCCGTCGTCCGAGCCCCTGGACAGCGCGTCCGCGTACTCGGCCGGCGTGTTGTAGCTCCTCAGCTTGCTCGGGTCGAAGTTCATCTTGAGGAGCTCGCCGTAGACGAAGGAACCCTCCTGGTACCCGACGTAGTCACCGTTGTCGAGGATATCGTTCACGTCCGTCACTGCCGGCCTCAGCTTCTGGACCGTCAGCATCGATGTCAAGCTGGCCGTGTAGCTCGACGTCAGGATCAGGACGGCGAACACCCATATGACCATCAGGAACTTGGACAGGTTGCTCACCACATTCTCCCCTGCACACCATCACCACCATGAGAGACTGATCAGTTTAACAGTTTTCTTGGTGTCGGAAGAAGCAGAGCTTGCTTAGCTTACTGTGCGCGAAGACGAGGGTAGAGAAGGCGTAGTGGAAGATGATGCCGAACTGCTGCAGCGGCGTGCCTCGGAACTCGGGGTTGATCCGGTGCTCGATCACCCAGATGACGAAGCCGGTGAAGATGAAGGCGGCGAGGCTGGCGAGCCAGAGCCCAGGCGTGAGCGGCTTGAGGAAGAAGAACATGCCCGTGGCCTCCTGCGCCTGCACCGCCACGACCATGGACCACCCCGATTCGGTGAACGGCATGGTGAAGTCCGCCTCCGCCATCCTGCCCACGGTGATGGACACATCGCCGACGACCGCATCGGCTTTCTCCTCGGGAATCAGGTCTATCATCTGGTCGTAAGAAGATGAACTCGCATTGCCGATGCCGTAGTAGGGCACGTACTGGTAGTACACCGGGTAGGGCAGTGCCTTGATGGCCGCTTCGAACACGTCGATGCTGTAGCCGGAGACTATCGTCCTGCCGCTCGTCGTGTCGTTGTACACCTGCACGAACTGCTGGAACCCGTGCTTCACCGGCACGGCGATGACCAGCGCCCGCTCGACCGGCGAGAAAGCCCACCCGTCCGGAATTCGCATGTCAGATTCTTCCACGCCAGGGAAATTGACTTTCTTCAAGCCTTCACCGCTGTCGGCGGCGAACTCCTGTGAGATCCCAGTCTTTGTGGTCCAGAACCCCACCGTCTTGAGCCCGTCTGCGGCGAAGTTCACGATCTCGTACGCCGGCGTCTGCGATTGCCCGTCCGACAGCCTGAACTTCCCGGCCAGCCCGTCGAATGTCGTGTTGCGCACAGCCTTGAGCAAGTTCTCGCCGGTGGCAGACACGCCGAGCTGGTCCAGCTCCGTCAGCCCCGTCCCTCCTTTCGGTGGCACGAAATCCGAGCCAGAGATCCCGGCCGCCTCAACTGCCGCGGCGACCGCGACCGCCGTGTCGTACGCCTTGAACGTCGACGTGGTCGGCTCCGTGGTGTCCTGAGAGCCATCGTTCTCTGGCAGAAACCTCGCCCTGAACCGTTTGGCAAAGTCACCGGCCTGGCTCGTGGGCGGCACGTACTGGCCGACGCTGACCACGCCCTGCATCGCGTCGGTGTCCTCGCGGCCTAGCGCGTCGCAGTCGCCTCCGGTGTCGCCCACTGCGGCCGTGGCGATCCAGACGTAGCCTTCGGACTCATGCCGGAGTTCTTGGCCCTGTGAAACAGCCGCAGCGCCAGGGGAAATGACATGTGCACGACGAAGACGCGAGCCGTCATCGACGAGGCGCGGTACAGCACCGCGTCGAGGCGGTCGTCGGACGCGTCGGCCGGCACCGCGGCGCGGTGCGCCACGGTGGCGCCGACGCCCCGGAGCGCGTCGGAGAGCGCCGGGACGATGCCAGCGCCGAAGCGCGAGTCCTCGTGCAGCAGGACCGCCGCGCGCCAGTGGAAGTTCTCCAGGACGCCCGCGATGGGCGCGGCCTGCGAGGAGTCGTCCGGCGCCGTGGCCACGGAGAAGCGCGCGGTCCGCGTCGCGGGGACCGCGGAGAAGGACACGACGGGAACGTGGGCGCGGTCACCGATGCGCGCCACGAACTCGGCCTCGGCGGCCGTCCGCGACCCGTCGATAATGGCCTGCGCCTTGGCGTTCTTGATCAGGTCCACCGCTGCATTGCAAGCGACAGGTCAGTCATGGTCATCTCAGAGTTATAGAGTGTCTGACAGCTGCCAGAGACTGCCGTGACGGCGAGCTCACCGGCGGAAGCGGCGGCGACGGCGTCGCCGGACGAGTCCCGGAAATGCAGCTCCACTCTGGTGGTGGAGTTAGCGTGCGCGGCGTAGTAGTCCTCCACCGCCATGCTAATGCTGGTCCGCCACCTCTTCCCGGGGGCAGAGGCCAGGTCAAGTATGACGCCGACATTGACGGCCTCCGCAGCGGCGGCAGCGGTCCGGTGGCCGAGCAGAGCAGCCAGAAGGCAGAGTAGGACGAAGGAAGCGGAGGTGGCGGCGAAACGCGTCTGCATCTCCAAGACGATCGGTTGCTGCTGCTGCTCCTGCTGCCTGTGCCCTTAGGACTGGACCTGGACCTTCTTATACTGGGCGAGGCAGCGGCGAGATTGCGTGTCTCCGTGGCATGCCATGGCAATGCATCGCGCCGCCCCCATCCTTGTTTATTATTCGAATGCTCCCTCGTTGAACGACTATTTGGCAGTGGCCAATGGCTTGCTGAGTGAAGTTTATTTACTTTTACAGCGCCCTAGATCTCTCAGACGAACGCGACATGCAGATGAGGTAGCAATTGCAAACACTGGCTAACCACCAGCATCCGATATAGACGAAGCTGAGCACCCCAAACATTGTTGTATTTTATCCAGGGGCGAAGCCCAGTGATTGACCTGATTTTTCTTTTCAAGTTATAGTACTCAGATTTTGACGCTTTATGCACCACCCATAGTCCAATAGACTGCACCTCCACAGTCCAGCGGCCCAACCTACAACTTCGATTAAGGAAGGTCTGAAACTGCAAGATTGATTGTTTCTCGTAACATCCGGCTGTTATTGTGATACGTCGTTCCATCTTCCGTCGTTCTGTTTCAGCAAGTCCGCGTCATTCCGTCCTCTCGGCTTCTAGCTTCTGCAGCCCACGGTGCCCTTGCCTCACTCTTGTGCATCCAGCGAAGATTGCCATCATGGCGTCACCCGGAGGCCGGCTACTCTGCATGCCGCAGCTATCCAGCTACGAGCCTAGGACCAGCTCCGTCGCTGGAGTGCTCTGGCTACCCAACCGGACAACACCCAACAAGCATAAGGATTTAAGCCGATATGAAACTAAATTAGATGCTCCCATGCAGCCATGCTTTTTTTTGTCTTTCTTAATTAATCTGATTTTATGTACAAATTAGGTCCATTTGGAATACGAGATTTTTTTTTGTTCCTACATTTTTTCTGTAAAAAATAAACTGTTTCTGAAATTATTATACACTTTCTATAAAATTCATGCATTCCAAGGCAGACATAAAGCTATAACTGGTTATTGTTTTACTTTTACAACGGTCCACGGTGTTAGGCTAGCTATTTGTGTTTGAGTACAAATTTATATGTTATTTTATTAGGCTGATGGAACGGTTTTCCATCCAAAACAAAAACACCAGAGGCTGATAGTGCCAATAATGCCAAGAATTACAAGCAAGTTGTCGGTGTTTCGGACCGGGGGTCCTCAACCAACCAGTGAATTTGAACTGCGTGCCCCTAATCCCGGATGGTGATGCAAAGAGACACAAGGTTTATATGGTTTTGCCCTATGTCCAATCGAGAGATTGAACCGAGGTGCTTGTAGTTTATGTAGCTGGTCCCGTGTCTTTAGGTCGGAAGCGGGGCTTGAGGAAGCGTGGGGGCGTGTGTTCTGAGAGCGTGGTTCTTTCAGTATTTTTCCGCCTCTCCTAGAGCTATCCATTTGCTTCCTTTTATAGCCGCAAGGAGGGAGCCAGAGTACATGAGTGAGCTACACGTGGAGCCCACTGTAGTTCGAAATTATTATACATGGTGTTGGGAATGGCGATCGGCACTTGATCGATCGCCCGTCTTTGGCGAGCCGAGGTTGTTGAGGTCGTGGGAGTCCTTGTTGACGTCTAGGCCTCCAAAGAGAAGACAAACCGTGCCTTGTGGAAAGTTGGCGGATTGGCCGAGTCTTGTATTTACTTATCTTTCGTCCGAGTTTTACTTTTTGCGGCCTCGGAGGTGACCGATGTATATGATGCGGGGTCTTGGTGGTCGGCGTCGTACCCGGTTTAGGTGGGAAAAGTGCTGGGCGTGTGTCCACAGGGCACGGTAACCCCCTGCACCGCGGTAGGGGATGGTAAAAAGGAGATTTTGTGTTTGAGTACAAATTTATATGTTCTTTAAAGCGGATTAGGATTCGCGATGGAACGGTTTTCCATCAAAAGGAAAAACACCGGGGTTTTGGACGAGGCGGAGGATGAGCGATTGATCTTTCATGCCGATTCCGAGACTACTGAGGACCCGGACTTGACCCTCCACGCCGCTTTGTCCTTGGCGAGAATTACAAGCAAGTAACCCTTCCGCGCCGGAGAATGGTGGAGACTGACAAAAAAGCGTGGCGGACGTGCGCGCTTTGTCTCGAAGATGGTTGAGAGGAGGTTTTTTTCCACCTCGGGCGAATAAGATTGTAACCCGTCCGAGGCCTTGCGGGGTGGAAAACAAGAGTTTTGGCCTTTTTACGAATCGGAGAATCACGAGACCTCGTGGTTGTCCTTTGGCTTTGATTTGTGTATGAATATTTTGTTCTTGCTTAGGGTACCCCTTCTTGTGGGCACAAGTATTCGTGGAGACTAAAAACGTGAAGATAGTTGAGAGATGGCATAATGATTGTGAAAAAAATAACACCATATGAATAATTGCCTTATTTGCCACGTGGAAAAAGAAGAGATGAAGAAAGTAAAAACTCGTTTCGAAAATGTAAGATATAGATTTCTTAATCACTCAGTTTTTTAGTCGCATCCCCCTCAATTTTCTTCTAGCTTCTCCGCTGATTTTATCTACAAGAGTTACGTCCCAAATGTTCAACATAGCTAGCGAATGATGTCAAAAGAAAGCTCGCTGACGCTGGCAAGAGTCCTCAGGAGTCAGGACTCCAGAGTCCAGAACACAACACGTGGCTAAAAGGTAAGATAGGGATCTGCAGGCCAACATCACGTACGGTGTTACACATACAACAATTTGTATCTCTGGAATGCCCTTCATGTGCATCAATGCACAATGCACATCTCACACCGGACATCATAGGTGTCATCTCCTAGAAGAGTGCACGACTTCTTCATCTGGACCTAGAAGAGAATGCACGACTTCTTTATCTTGTATTTGGTTTTGTTTGGCTAACTAGGCTCTCTCGTAATTTACCACTGTGTCAAATTCTATATTTAATATTGAGATTTGATGTGAATTGGAGTATATTGGATTGAATTGGATTGGATTAGAGTTCGGCCAAACAAGACCTCAACCTATCGAGCACGGTTCATAGAATCATGGGATGCTTGAACCACCACACAACACTGTAATTTGGAAAACCGTCATCAAAGTACAAGTTCTGCTAATCATTCAAAAGTGTGTCTTAGACTTCGGATAAATTGGCAGCAACACGACTAACAAACCACTCCAATATGCCCACTACTTCAGTCCACGGATCTTGTTAGGATTGTGCTTAATGTATACGATTTATTTACACTTGCGACTTGAGTTGGATTTGCTGATTAGGGTAGAGTTTGGAGTTCGGACCATACTTTGTATCATTATTAGGACAAAAATATAAGGAGACACCATGAGTCCATACATAGACCTAGTAGTGTACATCCCTTTCTTCTCCAACTTCCAAACAACTTTGTCTTGGAAATCCTTTACCGTCATCTGATATAGTGAAGTTGAGGTTCGTTGGAATTCTCACCCCCAATCCTCCTCCTCCCAGCAATCCTGAACAGTGCAACCAGGATTGCTACAGACCGAGAAACGTTTTTGATATGGTAGCTTCAGGGGTATATCTCCTATCCATGTGTCCTCCAAGAACAGAACGTTAGCTACATTTCCCAAGATCTCATTTGAATTTACTTTCACTTTTTTGATGCCTAACTAGAATTGTGAGCCTCCCTTGCTGTTATGTTACAGTTCGAGAGGCATTTGTTTTTCATGTATTTGGCACTGAGCAGCTGGCAGCACGTCATTCACATCTCCATTGTATAATCTCCAAATCCATTTTAGCAGTAAGACTTCGTTAAAAATTTATGTGTTGATGTTCCCAGACCAACAAATCCTTGGGCCTACATATATTCTCAAATTTGACCATGTGATATTTGAATCATGTCCCCCCTCCAAAACAATTTGGATCTAATAGTATCCATTGGTTGATGTGTCCCCACATATAGATGATGGGATGCTACTTAGAGAAGCATTCGTCTGAATCAGTCATTCAGTCTACCCCTGAGGTCACATTCTTTCCTTTTTCACGGCTGCAGCTTCCTTTTCATTTTCTCAATCATGGGACTTTACACCCATGTTCCTGTCACTTAGGGGATCCCGAGATATTTCGTGGGGAGATAACCCCTTGAGCAGTTTATAATGTTGCAATCCGGACCTCTTCATGTATGATGGCTTCACTCTTATGATAATTGATTTTGAAGCCTGACATCCATTCGAAGCAATTCAACAAAGACTTTAGGTTCCTAATGGACTGATCATCACATCCTGTCATAATAACCGTGTCATCAATATACTACAATTGAGTGAAACTCCCTGGGGACAAATGAAGTAGGACCCCTTGATGAACCCCTTCTGGTTTGCTTTAGCTAATATGTGGTCCAGTGCATCGGCAGCCATGTTGAACACTAATGGTGACAAGGGATCACCCTGTTGTAGTCCACCTGTGTCACTAACCACGACAACTAAACTTTCAAGTCAAATTGTCTGACAGTTTCCGCCCAAAATATAATCTAGTAGTATTAGACAGTTTGACAGTGCATCAATAGTGGTAATTCTTTTTTTTAATCTCCCAACAAAAAATTAGGAAAAAGTAAAACAAGCAAACAATGTAACAATGAATGGGAGAAAACAATCAATTATTGTAGACCACCTCAGCTACTTGGGTGCAACACTGTCACTACAGTAAAGAAGAGCTAGATTGACTAGAGACAGACTGTTTATACATCCATCACAAACGGTAAAGGCAGTACAGAAAAAGTAACCGCATCTCGACTATCAAGCAAATATTTTCACTATATTGCCTGGTCTGCTATATAAACTCTATCCTGCGCAGCTAACTCTGATTTTTGCACTTGCAACCTACTACTATCCCTTACCTTAAATTTTCATCATATGAGCTCGTGTTGTATTCGTTACCAAACAAAAGACTGGAGCAGCACCTCCAGTTGCTAGCGCTTCAGCAGTGTCTCAGTTGGTTTGTTCAAAGCCAAGTGGTTTGTCAGGTAGCTCATGAAAAATGGCGAGCATGATTCTTTGTTCAGGTACTTACATCAGCTTCATCCAGTGACGAAGACAAATAGTTCAAGATGAAATCATCTAGATCTCCTTCTAGAACTGAATCCGGGTCAGATACTTCGTAGTTCGTTCGAAGATCTTTGACCATTCGGTATGGCTGACAAAACACAACAAGAACAACTATTTACTGATATATGTTGAACACTATACAGGGATGCTCACAGAAATAACAGTAAGTTATGATGTTTGCACTTAAGAGATCCATCTCTATTCCATACTATAGTTCATTAGAAAGATTATGACAATAATAATTTGTATAGAAAGATTTATGTTCTCTTTTTTCAAAACTTCACTAGTTAGAAAGATCATGTCAGAAAATTTAGATCAAAACATGTGATTATTGTATCCATAAAGGACCAGAAAGAAATCACTAGTTTGCAGCTTCTTAATTTTTAAAAATCCTGAGATGAGTATGGAAACAAAACAGAAATAGAAAGATTAACTCTATAGACTAGTAGCTTAAAGGGAACACTGAGAACACAGATAATGCTACTGAGAGGTCACAGTTTTATCATAACAAGAGTTGATAGTTTAATTTGGTATTCTAAATGGAAAGCTTACATGGAGAACATAAGATCTTATTTGGTTGCCCCAGCTGATTTCGTTGAGTGATTGTGTGTGCTCTGCATTCATCTGTGCTTGGCGGGCAATCTCAAGCTGATCAAGACGAGATTGGAGCACTGCCATTGCGGATGCCTTGTTCATGTGTTGTGATCTGCATTTCTCAATCAGGAGTACAGAACTTTAACATTTATGTTTTTAAAACATTCAACGGTAGAAATAGCATAACGAGCAAAGAATAAACTTGTGAAATGCAAAGGAGAAGACATCAAAATTACCTTTCATTTTGAGATGTTGCACTTATACCAGTTGGAATGTGCACAATTCGAATAGCACTCTCTGTAGTGTTGGCATGCTGACCACCAGGGCCACCAGAACGGAAACGTTCTATCCTAAGATCAGAATCTTTGATCTGGTATCGGCTAGCGGCATCCCCAAGAATAGGTATTACAGCAACAGCTGCAAAGGAAGTGTGCCGCCGCTTTCCACTGTCAAATGGAGAAATTCGCACTAATCTATGGACTCCTACTTCAGCTTTGGCATATCCAAATGCATATTCACCATCAACTTTGATAGTGGCCCTCTGGAAAAAGCAGCTGTTTAAGATCAGTTCCTTTTTTTTTGTAATCTAAATACTACTCATATTAGAAAATAAATGGTTCAGATGGAATAGATTTTATAGCAAAAAAACTGTATGTTCAGCAACACATACTAGTGAAAAAAACAACCTTGATTCCTGCTACTTCACCAGGCATCTCTTCTACCACAGTGACTGTATATCCTCGTTGCTGGGCCCATGACTTATACATGTTCATGACCATTGCAGCCCAGTCCATGCTCTCGGTGCCACCAGCCCCTGCCTGAACCTGAAACCATCATCATAAGGAATCACCCACTGAAAACCTCATTAGGAAAGCATAAGATGAGCATTGGCGCTTCAACTACAAGGGCTCTAGATGGAGCAGTTAGCTGAAAAATTCTTACAAACATAATGAAATTATTGAGGGAGACACAAAATAAACCTCAATGAAGCAAGAACAAGAGTCACTGTCTCCAGAAAGTAACGCATTAAGTTCTTTCTCCTTTGCACTTCTTCTCATATCGGCTAAAGCCCTCATGCTTTCCTGCACAAAACAGTTAAAATAAAAGTTGAAACAGATAGATGGTTTGTACAATGAATGGAAAATGGATCTGTGCTGTATTTCAAGCTTTATATCATGTAATGAGCACTGTACTCACCATCTCAAGTTCATTATCGTTTTCTTCACGTGCAAGCCGTAACATCTCAATGTGTTCAATCAATTCCTGCTCAAATTGGTTCACTGACTTAATCTTGCCCATGAGCTCACCCTGCTCACGGCTAACCCTCCCAGCAAAAACTGGATCTTCCCAGAGGTCTGGCCTCTCCAACACCACAGCCAATTGTTTCGTTCTGTCAAGTATCCATCCCCACTGAACAAGTAAAAACAATGCTCAATTCAGACAGGATAGAAATGCCCAGTTAGCGAGCATAAACACACTCCGCGCATAAGATGTTCGCTGAAGTGCCTGAATGAATCGAGAACCTAAGATGACGGACCATCCTTGCGCAACAATAGAAGGCAATTTGGCCTACGGAAAAGCACTAAGTATCGGATGTCATGTGAATATTGTACCTTGAGGCGCTTCTTGATGAGCTTGACTGACTGCGCGACGGCGGCGGCATGGCTGCGCCAGTCGCTCTCGGCTTCGGGAAGAATCGTCCACCTCTTGTCGGCAATCGAGTCTACCGTCAGGCCGTCCGCGGTCATCGGAGCCTCCGCCACCGCCTCCGTGGACGGAGAGGAGAACCACCGCACCGGAACGCGGAGGAGAGTGGAGTCGGCGGCATGGGGGAGGCCATCAGTGGGCCCCAGGAGGGCCACCAAGGCGGCGCCATGGGTGAGGAGGCAGTGAGTAGTTCCTGGCCTCTTGCGGTGGAGGTGGGAGACGAGGCGCGCCGCCGCTGATCTGGTTAAGAGGCGGGAGGCCATTTTCGTGGGCTTGAAACGTGCTCGCCGCCGCTATGTAGCTCGCCTCGCGCACAGGCACAGCCCGTCTAGACAGGACAGCTCCTCGCCATCGCAGCCTTGCACGTGGTCGCCAGCACCACTGCTCGTGATGAGGCCGCCGTAGTCTCGCTCGGAACAGTCGGTGGGGCCGGGGGCGAGTCGCAATGGCCGTCCGGGACGGACTCAGATTCGGTGCCTTTCCTCCAGCCAGTCACGGCGTACCTTTCAGGCTTCTGTCTATCGTCTGAAGGCCGCGTTTAGTTCGGCCACCGAATCGACGCCGCCGGATTCGGGGCGCACTGTACCTACGGTAGCGTTTTGTTTTTATTTGGTAATAATTGTTTAATCGTTGACTAATTAGGTTTAAAACGTTCGTCTCGTAAAGTACAACCAAACTGTGCAATTAGTTTTTGATTTCGTCAATATATATTACTCCATGCATGTACCGCAAGTTTGATATGACGAGGAATCTTCTTTTTACATAGTGCCAAATTTTGAAATTTGGGGCAACTAAACGTGGCCGAGTAGCTCTCACGATTTTACAGCACATCTTTAGCTTTTTTCGTAGAAACAGGCGGGAGCGGCTGCCCCATTTGCGCGCGCGCCGCGCCCGTCTCCCACGCGCTGCGCCACCCACTGCCTGGAGGAGTCGAGCTGACTTGCAACCTCCGTCCGAAAGAGCCAAGCCGTGCTACGCCGGTAACCCAGCATAACTGGACCGACACGAGCAAACCAGCGTCCTCCGTAAGGACGCCTTCCAGGAGTGCTGCAGCTACAGGGACATTAGCGAGGAGCACTACCCACGTGAGTTGCTTCACCACCTGACATCAGAACATCCCCTCTTCTTAGCTTTCTGTCAGATTGTGTTGAATCTAATGCTGCTATTTATTCTTTACCAAAATCTATACCAGTCTAGCTAGTATCTATGTTTAGCTTGATAAAAATTGCAAATCTGTCATCATGTGCTAGTAATTGTTTGTTGTAATTTTTGTTCTTTGTGACAGAATTTGACAAGGAAAATTGGGTTAGATATTGAAAGGCAATGACAGAACTTGACAAGGGAACACCTGAAGTTGGTTTGAGGTTTCGAAATCCAGATGAGGCTTGGCAGTTTTGGGTGGCATATGAGGGTCGTACAGGTTTTGATGTGAGAAAAAGATATAGAAATTTAAGCAAATTTGATGGCAAGGTGACTTCATGCAGATTTGTTTGTGCCAACGAAGACCATCGAAGGAAAGTGGAAAGAGAGCATGTGACAAAGTGTTTTAGAGCTGAAACAAGAACCAATTGCAAAGCACGAATGACAATTACATTGGACCGAGGGGAAGGAAATTATGAAGTCACTAATGTTGTCCTTGAACACAATCACCTCCTTCACTTGCACGGAAGTAATCAAGATAGGCAAGGAAGAAATGTGATAGAAAATCCAAAACTAGAAGCTCAACTTCGATTGAAGTTTATGTCTCATAAATACCACAATTTGGCATATAAAGCCGTCAACTCTTCAGAATGTTGCTTGCTGCTCGACAATGCTCTTGATTGCCTTTGCACACAAGTTGAGGATAAACTTAATATATCTAGCTGTGCTATGAATGAAAACCAACAAATGAACAAGAAAATGTTGACCCAAATATGAACCAAAGTGATGATTTGCTTAGTGCTGCAAAGCTGAAGAAAAAGGAAGTCCAGTAAAAAAATTCGAAGAGAAAGAAGACTTGGATTGATAAGTTACGACGGAAAGCAAAGCAAGAGAAATCTGCCATACCATCAAAATCTGTCATACCACCAAAATATGCTAAACCAAAGAAAAAAGGAACAAAGGTATGTTGCAAACTTGCAAGCTACATAATGTATGCATACTGTTGTCATTCCGATCGAAACTAATTGGTTGAATTTTTATTAGCAGCCACAAAACAAAAATGATGTTGTACAACCCCAAGTTGAATTGAAAAATGATGGCAGCAATAGAGATGAAGTTTAGAAGTCTCAAGATTACAATGCCATTGGCAGTTTTACTCAGCTCATAACAGCTCCAACTTGTGCCGAAGAAAACCTTCAGTTCTAGTGTGTATAGGCTGGTTAGATAGCATTTTGGACAGGGCTAACTATAGTCTTTTGGGGTCTAATTATAGTCTTTTGTGGCCTAACTGTATATCTGAAATGGCCTATATAATTTCAGTAGAAGCACATGTGCTGGTTTAGTAATAACACAAGTTGCCAGGGTACACAAACTGAAGGTGCTTTAAATGATTTTGAACTTGTGGACTTGTGCTTTGGAAGTGGAGCACACAAATCTCCAGTGTGCTTGATCTGTCTAATAATTATGTGCTTGTGAAAATGGCTTTGTTTGTGTGCAAGTCTGATATATTTTGCCATCAGTGAAAATTTGGGGCTAAACATGTACTCAGTGTATTTACTGAATAAGTGTCACTATGTCTAAACACACACCAACCAGACATCAGTAGAAACAAAATCTTGCATTTTCATTTCTAGATTTCAGTACTTCACAAATTCAGAATAAAAATCTCTTGATTCATTATATATAGACCAGAAGAATCTGCCATGTTTATAAGAAGTGGTTTCTATCCAAAAGCTAATTACATTAACCATGGGGTTTGGGCAGAAACCATGGTGGCGTGAACCGGCCAGTGATACCATCTCTCATGGCATAAGGACCTCCAACATCGGAACCACCAACCGCAGAGTTAATCCATGGGTTCATTAGAGCTCCATCTTGGCGGGTGCTGTGAGCTCCATCTCCATGGCGACAAGGACCTCCACGTCGAGTTTGTAGTCCCCTCAGAGTTAGGCCAGAAGAGCTGCAGTGCAGGGCGGGGCTCCATCTTTCTTGGTCGGCGTGAGCTCCATCTTCTCGACCGGCGTGAGCAATGGGAGGCGTAGAAGGGCTGCAGTGGCACAGGGGGAGGCGAGGAGGAGGGCGACATCTGAGGCTCGTCGGCGTGAGCAGCAGAGAGGCCATGGGGATCGAGGTACACTATGTGGGGGGAAGCAGGAGGAGGCGGCGGTGCGTGGTGACGTCTGGCGGCGCACATACATTGCTTGAGAGATGTGTCCTTGTGGCCTGGCCAATGAGGAGAGATGGAATTTTTGTTTAAGCCGATGGATTCTCTTTGAATGGTGGATAGGAGGCTGAAAGGTGCGCGGTGCCTTGCCAGAGGAAAGGCACCGAATCTGAGTCCGTCCAGGACTCCGGTGCTTGCCCAGGCCAGTCTGAATGGGAGTTAGAGCATCTCCATCATCACAGTCCTCCGATACAACTTCCCCATATCAGGATAGCCCAATATAAAGGAGATGCTGCAGTAGGAGTACCATAATATATCTCCCCCAATACCCATATGAAAGGTGGGTTGCATAGAAGTGTAAGAGAAAATATGGTTAAAAAATGGTAGTTGGGACGATCCCATGATATTAGGGCAGTTGTATCTCCCCCTTTCTTTGAGGGAAGATGAATAAAATATTGGTAGCCATAAAAAAGGAGAGATATTGGAGAACTGCTGGAGAAAAAAAACATAGTTATCTCCAATATGACAGTTTTATGGGGATATGGGAGGTACTGGGAAACTGCTGGAGATGCTCTTAACATGTCAAATAGGCATTTTCATGATAATGTATTTAAGAGAGAGGAAAGATTAAACTCTTTTATTTTAAAATCTAAGTCAACTCTAAGTCAACTCTAAGTCATGAAATTAAAAGTCTATAAAATCATAAAATGAAACTTTAAATTAATAGTGGGTTTTGCATCTAAGTTTCATTTTATTTTATATGATATGGCAGTAAACAACAATGGTACGATACTATTTAAAGTTTAAGAAGGCGCTAGGTGGTGACCCACGGCCTAGAGCCTAGCCGACCTAGGCCAGCTTAGATGATTCAAGGTGTTTTTCTAGGCGATGGCTAATTCATACATAAATAATTAAAAGGAAAAAAAAAATAGAAGATCAGTAGTCATGAAATAGGAAGAAAGAGAAGAAGGCTCATTTAACGGCCCAACACTCCACGTTACAGCCTCTCCCGCATCTCTTCTGCGCCCGCCCGCTGCCACTTCCTCTCCCTCTCTCGCATCTCTCTCTTGCCCGCATCTCTGCGCCCGCCGCCGCCGATTCCTCTCCCTCTCTCGTACCTCTCTCTCTGTTCGCGCTGTAGGGTCGAGATGGCGGACTAGAAGGGGTGAATAGTCCTTTTAAAATTAATCACGTTGGCTAACCGAGATAAATATGGAATTAAAACTATCGGTCTAGCCAAAACTATACCTCTCTATCTAAGTTCACTAGCATTTTATAAAGATCCTAATTAGGCAACAAAGGTGCCGGGCAAGCTAGAGCTCGGCTAATCAATTCTAGAGCAAGATCACATAAACCTATGCACTAGTACTTTGCAATGGGGAAGCTCCTACACAAGCTAGTAAGCAAAAGCACAAAGCCATCTAAGCTCACTAGCAAAGCTCAATAACAAGGCTACACAAGCCAAATTATAGAGCACAAATTACTTAGCTATATAAACTAAGCAATGTGACTAACAAGGTTACTCAAACAGAATTAGTCACGTAAGGGAGCTACTTCTATGCTACACAAGCAAGAAGGTAACTAGCAAGCTACACAAGCTAACTAATTAGAAGAGCAACTACACAAGCATAATGTATGAAAATGTAAAGACAAGCTTATGTAAAGGGGATGCAAACCAACGGGAAGACAAGGATGACACGATGATTTTTATCCCGAGGTTCATGTGTTGCCAACATGCTAGTCCCCGTTGTGTCGATCGCTCACTTGGTGGTTCGGCGACTAATTGGCATCACCCACCAAGGCCGCACGTCGGGCACCACAAGAAACTACCCCAAAAGTGAGGGTAGCTCAATGACACGCTCTACTAGAGTTGCTCTTCGCGATCCCCGTGGGGTGAGCATAATCCCTCTCACAAATCCTCCTCCGGAGCACCGCACAATCTTCTTGCGTGCTTCAACG